CTATATATATAGAGAGAGAGAGAGAAAGAGAGAGAGATGATAGATAAATAGATAGATAGATAGATAGATAGATAGATATGATAGAGATAGAAAGATAGCAGTTAGCAGTTAGACTTATATGCCGCTTCATAGGGCTTTCAGCCCTCTCTAAGCGGTTTACAGAGTCAGCATAATTGCCCCCAACAACAATCTGGGTCCTCATTTCACCCACCTCAGAAGGATGGAAGGCTGAGTCAACCTTGAGCTGGTGAGATTTGAACCGCTGAACTTCAGATAGCAGTACTGCACTCTAACCACTGCGCCACCTTGGCTCTCAACCCTCGGCTTTCAGCCCTCTCTAAGCGGTTTACAGAGTCAGCATATTGCCCCCAACAACAATCTGGGTCCTCATTTCACCCACCTCGGAAGGATGGAAGGCTGAGTCAAACTTGAGCCGGTGAGATTTGAACCGCTGAACTTCAGATAGCAGTACTGCACCCTAACCACTGCTCCACCTTGGCTCTTCAATAATACCAAAGTATTGGGAGATTTTGGATGACAGACTGAAATCTTGCAAGATCTGGCAATCTCATAAAAATGAATCAATTTTTAATTGATTAGTTTGTTTATTCATTTTTAAGCCCTTATTCCATCATGTAAATTCACATAATGGTACCCACATCTGAAAAAAAAAGATATCTAAATATAAATTCAGTTGCACTGGTGGAAAAGGGAACAGTGAGAGATAAAAAAATTAAGCAGGATAAAGGTCATATTAAAAAAAAAAAAAAAACTAAAACAGGGTAAGGAAAAGCTTCCCAAATCCTACACAGGTTACCTATTGGAGTTCAGTGGCTATAATAAATGTAAATAAACAAACAAATAATCTGGAACTTTTGTTCCTTGTACATCAGGTGGACACCAGGTAGGAAGCATAAAAATCACTTAAAAATTGCTAAAAGAAAATCTCCAGTTAAAAATATGAGTGGTTAGCAGAAAAGGAATAGCATAAAGGTTGGTTGGGAACAAAAAAAATGTAAACCTACCCAAAGAATGAACATCAAACTGCTGAGCCCCTACTATGAAATGCACCTGTATTTCTAAAGCTGCTTATTAAATCCATCTTATCTCAGAGTAATTGTCTGATAGTCACCCCAAAGATTTATGGAGCTAGATGGGTTACAGCCAAGTAGACTTAGGGGCTGCAATGAGACCCTTCCTGATTTACAGAGTTGGGAGAACATTGTTGGTCAGTGCAAATTTCACATCCATATTTTTCATTTAATTCTAAGCCTGGCTCTTAATAAAAAGATACCTAAATTGATGGTGACAGAGTTTCAGCTTAATATGCAAATTTTATTTCGGCTGAATAATTTTCCCTGCAGGAGAATGAAATACAAGATTCTTTATTATCTTCCATCAGGCTTGCAAGACGAGTGAATTGGTCACTTCTGCAAGCTGATGAATTTTCATGACCATTTTTTTGTGCAACTGCTTCAAACCTGATTTGAATACTACTTGGTCAGATATTTTTTAAATCTGTTGTATATATTCATTATGTGGATATGCTCCAGGCAATGCATCATGAAATGGGAAGCTGAGTATTAGGTATGTACATATGCAGAATTGAACTGAAGCAATGTTCATTGTGAAGGATGCTTTTTTAATGCCGCATAATGGAAAAATATAGGGTGGCCCAACCCCATTCCATAAGAGTGAAAAATATTGTGACTCTTTTGCAGAAGTAGTTATTAAAGTTATATAGAAAACTGTCTGTTACATATATAGGAAGGTCTTGGTATTTGTCTACAATGGATAGGATGTTCAATTTGCGTGCTAATGCAGACTTACCTAATTTAAATTTTTGAAATCTATTCACAACCCTAGGTAAAGCTAAAACCCGAAATCAACATTTTCCCTTAAGTTTTGCAAAGCAATTTAATAATCAGAAATCCACATGAAATGTATACACCACATAAGGACCAAATATAACAAAGATTGTAGAGAAATATTATGTATGAAATTCATTAAATTAAGGGAAATTGTTTGCAAAAGATGTGTACATTAGAAAAATGCACCTTTTAGGAGATATTTATGTGAGAATCTACATTAATTGCCATGAAGGTCTTTTTTTCTCACAAAATTCTTCAAAGTGTTAACAAATAAGTGTAAATTTAATATAAGAAAGTAATCTGAATCACTTTTTTGGTTTGTTATCTGTATATTCGTTTTAGAATTCTTTATTGGCCAAGTGTGATTGGACACACAAGGAATTTGTCTTTGCTGCATATGCTCTCAGTATACATAAAAAGACAAAATACATTATTCAAGAATCATAAGGTACAACACTTAATGATAGTCATAGGGTACAAATAATCATTTATATTTTAATTATTTTAAATCAATTAATACTTTTAATTATTAAGACATCAACAGGTTTCATTTGTATATCCAGTGTAGCATCTTTTTCCATATTATTCTTGCAGTCTATGTCAGTTTTCACCCTTAAACTTCTTCCTCTTCCATAACATTATTTAAATTTACTGCATCCATAGAGGCGGATGCTTTAAAATTTATTTCTGGGTCCACTGTTCAAAAACTACACTTCAATATGTTGAATGTTAATATATTTTGCTCCATTCTAGTAAGTCGAATTTAAATGTACTTCTCTTTAAATTGCAATCTTCAGTTCCTTCTGGTGCCCTCTAGTGTCCAGCTTTCAAAGTTCCATCCAATCAAGATTTTTTTTTTTTTAAAGAAAAGAATTCAAAACCATAACATTTTGGCATGGAAGGAGTTTTAGAATTAATTCCATTGAATGACAATTTTCTCAGACTTTTTTTCCTCTAAATTTGTTCACTCTTCCTTTATAGTTTTGTTTTGCCAATTGATCTTCCGTCTTCCTCCCTGTATGATCAAATCACATCACTACTCTAATTATTCACTTTTATAGCCTATCCATACTCAGTACTCATTCATGCGTGACCCTCTCTTCTTGTTTCACCATACAGTTCTTAAGCGCAGGTAGTCCTCGACTTACAACAGTTCATTTAGTGCCCATTTAAAATTACAACAGCATGGGGAAAAAACTGACTTATGACCATTTTTCACGCTGACAATCATTGCAGCATCCCCATGGTCATGTGATCAAAATTCAGATGCTTGGCAACAGGTTCATATTTATGATAGTTGCAGTATCCCAGGGTCATGTGATCAACCTTTGCACCCTTCTGACAAGCAAAGTCAATGGGGAAGCCAAATTCACTTAACAACCGTCTTACTTAACAACTGCAGTGATTCACTTAACAACTTTGGCCAAAAAGATCATAAAATGGGACAAAAACTGACTCAACTGTCTTGTTTAGCAACAGAAATTTGTGGTCATAAAGCAAGAATCACCTGCACCCATTCCTATTGCATTTAACTTATGTTGTTTCTGATTTACGCAACTCTCATTCTATGTATCAAGACTGATGAAGCATACTCTAGTACATACTATTTTTACTTCTTTCAAGCATTCATTCCTCATAGCAAACTACTGAATCTTCTATCCATTACCTTTCTAGACAGATATTCACCAGTCACTTTTTTCATGTATTTTGAGTCTCATAATTGCTCATTGTTCATGTGTTTGTCTCAGTCCCACCTACATATTTATGTCACCCTAGCAGATCCCTTGTTCTCTCTGGGTTGCATTAATTCATATTATTGCAAAATATTTCCAAAAACATCTGGGTTTTCCTTTATCATTATTCACTAAAGCATAACACTCGGCTATAATTAACCTACAGATTTCTACTTTCATACACACCCACAACCACCTAGAGAGAACAAATTCATTTTGTCTGACACACATATTAGCCTTTTCATTCACAAATAAACCTACACCTTCGCTTCAAGGTGAGACAACATACATTCGAGTTCTTTTATGTGCTTTTTCTTACATCCACACACACACATACACACACAAAAAAACATATTTTTTCATTCATTGGTGAATTCAGATTTATATTTATCCCTCTTCCAAACTTTTTGATATCATGGTAATCACTAAATAGGCCTTTTAGATATTGACTCCATTGTGCATTGTATTGGTCAACTGAGGCTTTCAAATAAAACTTTTTAATAAAACGAAGAAGATGTAGTCCAGGTATGAGCCTTAACTGATAAACTGGTATCTCTACCACAGACAACATTTCCTACTAACAACAATGATGACACTAGCTACTTTTGGTCTACTACAGCCAGTATACTACAAGTGCAGCTAAAAACCAGATTAACTTCAAGGATTCTCACAGTTTTCTGCCCAAACTAGACTCTACAATCCAGAGATTACCTTGCAAGAAAAGTACTGTTCTCGCATCTAACCAGCTAGAAGATACAATATGTATGTATGTATGTATGTGTGTGTATGTATGTATGTATGTGTGTGTGTATGTGTGTATGTATACATGCATGCATGCATGTATGTAATATGATATCACATTTATAACTAGATGATTAGCATAACACTGAACAGGAGTATTTCTATTCATGAAAGCAGGATATACAGTATTGCAGCCTGAGATCGCATGTCCCATCATTTATTTATTTATTTCATGCCAGTGAATGGAGATTCACAGAGAGATAGCAGCAGCAGCAGGAGCCAAAACAATGAGAAAAAGGACTCAAATGAAATGCCCTAGAATTTGAGGCCCTCTATTAAACCCAGCTACTCGTTGATTGGTGCACACTGATCCAGGCATGGCCACACAGTCAGCATTTTTCTCTTTCTGGCTGTTTGTTGCTGTGTTGCAGTCAGGGGATCTTCTCGCTGCCAAGCTACCGGAAAGAACATTGGCTTGGTGGGCATTGGAAATGGAAGGTGACACCCCCTTTGGCCTCACCAGCAGAAAGCCGTATGGTACAGTGATTCAGGCAGGGAGTTATAAATGGCTCTAGCAGAAGAAACGTGCAGTGGCTGTGAATGAGAAGGCTTGTTTGCTGGCCCGCTGGGGGTAAAAAAAAAAAAACCAACAACAACCTAGAGGCCCCTGGAAGATGAGGAGGGAGAGAGGGTCTATCAGTCAGAAATACCTTTATTGGTATCAGACAAATGTTGGAGGGGGTGGGAAGGGAATCAGAACCAAGCATGAAGTGGGAAAGGAAAGTTTCACAGAATTTTTGCCCAATCCACTGACTCTATACTATTGATGTTTTTCTCAGATTATGGCTATGACTAGGATTTTCCCAGGGTGCTTCCCAAATCAGTTGTTGGTGGTATGAGGCCGAAAGAGAAAGAGAAATGCTGTGGGGCTGGGGGGGGGACACTAGGGGATGAGAAGTGACAAGACAGGGCCTCAGCCCAGTACTTCCCAGAATCAGGCAGCACACTGCCAGTCTTTGCACAGATGGGTGCATCTTCTCCAGCCTCCTAGTCTTTGGGTGGAAAGCGTCTTTCCTTACCCAGCATTCTGTTTTGTTTTGATTTCTGCTAAAAAAAAAAACGTCTTCCCTCTCTTTGGGGAGGGGGAGTAGGGAATCTAACTTGCCTGCCTGGAAGGAGAGTCCCATAACAATCTACTTTCAAGGAAGCCACCTTTTTTTGCCCTCCCCAGTTACCCAGCTAACAATCCCTTGGCTGAAAACAAAAGACTCTGAGACGACAATGCGATTTAAAAAAAGAAAAAGCAGAGAAAATATAGTCACTTCTTGGCTTTTCAGAATGCAAGAATGGCTCCCCACATCCCTCCCGGTTACAACAAAGGCGGCACTCACAGAATGGTGCATTTTGGACATCAGAGGTGAAGCTCGGCAGATTCCACAGCAGGGCTAAAAGAGGAGAGCCATCCGTCGGCCTTTCTCAGTACTGGTTGCACTGCATACAGGATCATGTTTTGATTACAAAAGCCCTGCCTGGGCTCCCAGCCAAAAGCACCGGCTGCCTCATATACGAAAGCAGAGGCAGGCAATCAAAGCGCTTGTGTCCTCCTCTTCATTCGCCTTTCAGTGAGAATGTACATACCCTTTTGCTTCTCCTGTGATTACCTTTGCAATTCTGGTTGTCAGAGTCCCCACATGGCGCATCCGACTAGCAGGAACTGGAAAGACTGGGAGGGTGAGGTTTCCTTGACCATCAAGAGCTCGGCTCCACATTCTTGGCACTTATTTGCATCGTGGGCTAAACGTACAAATGAGTGTTAGATGAATGCTCACAACAGTTTGGAAGATTCTGTCAATCTGAGACCTGAAGATTCTGTCAATCGGAGGTTTTTGTTTTGTTTGTTTGTTTTGTTCCTTGGTAAAAGTTTACGTCAGCAGAGATGGTGAAGTGCTGGAAGCCTGAAGAAGAAAAACAGAATCCTACATCCAACCTACATTCAAAAAAGGGGACGGAGGAGGATCAGTCGTCAGGCCAGCTAAAAGTCTATATTTGGCAAAGCACAGGAACATATTGTCAAGGAGCACATTTGCAAGCCTTTTATAAAGAATGCTCTCATTATTCGATGCCAGCTCGGCTTTCAGGAGCATGTTGTGTCAGACTAAGCAGAACGTTTTTTATGACAGAAGGACTAATTAACTAACTAACTAACTAACTAACTAACTAACTAACTAACCAACTAAGTAGACTAAAGAAATGCTGCAGATGATGTGCACATTGCTCTCAGTGAAGCATCTGACAGGAACTCTGGGAAGATTATGGAACAAAATAAATAACATTCAGCCAGATGGGTTTGCAACTGGTTGAGCAAGCACCTCCGAAGGGTTCTGCAAATTAGAGGGGTGGAAGTGTCCATCCTTCCTGGATGCAGGCAGGAACAGGTGTCTGAGGAGACTATCCAGACGGTCAATGGTGGGTGTGGACTTGGATTGCTGCCGCTAGTATGCACATCAGCCGCTTGGTAGTTAACAACAGGATGTAGCAACAGAGATGGAGAAGGGGAACTGGAGACGGTGTGATAGGTAATAGGTTTTAAGCAATGACACCATCTGGCTAATGCAGCAGTAGAGTTTTTCAGATGCTTGGGATGATTTAATAAAATCCTGCTCAAGGTATAAAGACACATTCCATTTCATTATTCGGTGAGCCTATGATTACCTCACCTCCCCTAAGTTTAAAAATCACAGAATCAAACTAGACAGGTCAATTCACCTAACATAAGATATCCTGTATTTAAGATAATGTATTATTCTGTGTCCCTGGCCCACTTTGGGATGAAACAATTAGGAAGATTAATAGCAAGTTGAAAAGGCACAAGTCTTGGTAAAGGGTGTTTTTTTTAGCCTAGTTTGCTTTCATAAGATTTCAGCCTCTTTGCAGACCAGGTTCAGACATGCCCAGTACACCTTCACTCAATTCAGATGGAATCTACATCTGTATGAAGGTTAGTTACATGCAAGAGTCACAGATAATATAGACATTTCCCTAGTTCTCCCAATACCCTAAGGGATAATATATGGTTATGATGCAGCCCAATCGATGAACTTGTTCTACAAATGGGCAGTGCTGAGCTTCAGGATTTAATGACTGTAGTCTATGGCATCTTTAGAGGCAAGTCGGTCCGCTATGCAGGTGCCCAGTCAATCCCTGCTTAGTTGCCTGAGGTCATGAAATCCAATGCCAGTATATTATTCTAGATATCTTCATTAATCAACTAAAAGCTTCACAAGATATATGATTTTTNATCTTCATTAATCAACTAAAAGCTTCACAAGATATATGATTTTTTCTAGATATCTTCATTAATCAACTAAAAGCTTCACAAGATATATGATTTTTCTAGATACCTTCATTAATCAACTAAAAGCTTCACACGATATATGATTTTTTCTAGATACCTTCATTAATCAACTAAAAGCTTCACAAGATATATGAATTTTGCCCCTTTCTTTTTTAAAAAATAAGTTTCTCAAGAGGCATTTGTTTCTAAACCAAATAGTGTGTGCATGGTATCAGTTGTATTCTTCCCTGCTAAGTGATGTTATAAACATCATTCTTTGCATATATTCTTGCTTTTCTTTCTTTTTCTTTATGCTTTTTCATCCTTCTAAATCTCCGTTTACCCTTTATCTTTTATCTTGAGTGTTAGTTCAGATTGTTTTTATGTGCAAGCTTTGCAAACTGTAATATAACTATTTGAATGTTACTTTTATATCTTTGTTTCTCATTTCTTTGTTCAGCCTTGTTCTTACGATATTGCATGGCTGAGAAGAGTGCCACAGAGTCCCCCAGGACACATGGGGGAACAGCAGAAGCCTGCTTAAGCCAGCCTTGTACAATTTGTATTCCAGATGCAGGGCAGGGGAGGTGGTCCTGGTTGCTAGACACTGCAGCCAAGGACTGTATTGGCTGCAAATTAAAGGAGCAGTAACCCAACATGGCAACATGGCTGGAAGTCACTAGATTGGAGGAAGTTCTGGCTTCTTTTACCCTTCTCAACCCTTATCACCTCCATCAGATTTTCTACTTAGAGAGAAGATGTGAGTCTTCATATTGGTTCCCAGTGGAAATATGGAAACAGAATGGGTGAGTCCAAAGGTGCTTTTTCAAGAGGCAACTGGACTTTCTGGTTTTTCTTTGAAAATGTTTCGCTTCTCATCCAAGAAGCTTCTTCAGCTTCTTCAGTCCCCTCAGGGAAAAAGGCGGCATACAAATAAAGTATAAACAAAATGAAATGAAATGAAACAGCACCTTTGAGACAACCATGACCTGGATGACTGAGAATCTCCACAGACAGAATGGGTTAGGTTTGCCCTCTCCCTGCTTCATTCATCCACTAAAATTTAAAACTCAACTCAAATATATCACCAGGAACTTCTAGTTAGCTTAACTAACTAGCTCTAAGGGATTTTTTTCCTATTTCTCAGGAGATTTCTTTCTGTTTTTATTTTGCTTTCAGATGACCAGAACTGATCCTATGTACAGTCACATTGACTTTCATTTTATTATAGAATGACATTTTGTCATTTTCCAGTAACTAAAAGGACCAGAGGATGGAAGCAGAAATGTTGGATTTTCAATCCTGCAGAAGCAACCCGGTGTTCAAATTCAGACCCAAGGTTAGACACCCTTACTACTCTCCTCCCCACTCCATCTAATGTATTGGCAGAAACAGGTGCAGGCAGGCAGTGTATTCACTCTTCAATCCTGCAAGGGGCAGAGGAGAAGGCTCCGATTACATTTCACCCGGGGCAAGTATTTGGATGGAAATGTTGACTCTGACTTTCAGGCAAAATTTTAAAATGTTACTTCATGTCCTCAAATGGGGAATCTCACTTGAGACCTACATGAATACATTTTTTATAAATCTCTATCCTTTCCACTGCCTTATTTATTTCTTAGTTCAGTTTATTTATGTATTTATTTGTTCACTCGCTTGCCTGGTAGTTCACCACAGTCATGGTGATAATGGTGGTGATAGTAATAGAAATAGCACTTAGACTTATATACTGCTTCACAGTGCTTTAGAGCAGTGGTGGGATTCAAATGTTTTTACTATTGGTTCTGTGGGCATGGGTTGGTGGGCATGGCTTGGAGAGGGTGGCAGGGGACTCCAGGGGAAGGTTACTGCAAAATCCCCATTCCCTCCCAATCAGCTGGGACTCGGGAGGCAGAGAATAGATGGGGACGGGGCTAGTGAGAGGTGGTATTTACCTGTTCTCTGAAGTACTCAAAATTTCCACTACCGGTTCTCCAGAACTAGTCAGAACTTGCTGAATATTACCTCTGCTTTAGAGCCCTCTCTAAGCAATTTGCAGAGTTTCCATATTGCCCCCAACAATCTGGGTCCTCCTTTTACCGACCTCGGAAGGATGGAAGGCTGAGTCAATTTTGAGACTTCGGTGAGATACAAACTGCCAAACTGCTGGCAGCCAGCAGTTAGCAGAATTAGCCTGCAATACTGCATTCTAACTACTACGCCACCATAGCTCCTGGTGATGATGATATAGACATCATCTTTAGAAAAAGAAAAACAGAATTTGGAAGCATTGTTACAATCTGGGTTCCTTTGGACACTTATTTGCTTGTTGCCCTCACTTGCCCTCACATAGTCCAGACTGGCATACAGCCATGCGCTACAACGAACATCTACGCCACCAAGGTCTGTCTCATAGCACAGTTGCCCCATGGTTCTTGGTGAAAGCATTTAGACAATCTGCATCTTGATGCATACATTGGGTGCTGAGGTCTAACTAATTAGGTTCTGACTGGTAATAACGGGAATAACTACATCAGTTTCTAATGAAGATAAAGAAAAACAGGATGAAAGATAGTTCAAAGAAATATAGAATTAACTTGATGAAATGGTCAGGCAGATGGAAACTAAAAATAATCACATACACAAACAAATCCAGAAAGGAAAGTGGTCCTGTAGAATTCCCCTTACAGTTAATATGGGGATTTCAAAGCTTAATCATTAAATTATATCCCAACTGTGCTATATTTTAAGCAAATCAGAATATGCTCGCTAAAGTATAAAAACAAAATTATTCCACATTTTCAAAAGGGCTGCTGTGCTTTTAATGAACCTCTAGTTCCAGTGTTGATTATGTGTTATTTTTAATTGCAGTCTTCATAAAAGCCTTATGGCTTTTAGTACCATTGATAACCATTTTCATTTATTTATTTTTATCCCATTGTTATTATTATTTATAAATAACTCAAGGGGATGACCATACCTAATATTCCTTCCTCCTCTAATTTCACCCAGAACAACCCAGTGAAGTGAGGTGGGCTGGGGCAGAGTGACTGGTCCAAGGTTACCCAGCCAACTACTTCATGTCTAAAACAGGACTAGAATGCACAGTCTTCTGGTTTCTAGCTTGAAGCCTTAACCATTAAACCAAACTATGATCACTAGGCTAACTCATGATACCTCTTACTGGGCTCCTATCAGAGGTGGGTTGCTGCCAGTTCGGCCCGGATTTGGCAAACTGGTAGTAGCAGTGATGGGAGGCTCCGCCCACCCACTCGGACACTTTTGTGCATGCGCAGAAGTGTCATGAGCGTGCACAAGTGCATGCAAAAGTGCGCCCAAACTGGTAGTAAAAAAATTAGCAACCCACCTCTGGCCCCTATGTTTTTCTTAAAAAATATACTCCAATATTGCCCTAACACTGATGTGGCTTTGGGTGCC